CTACTCTTGTAGTGTACCTATGTAGCTCATTTTAAAATGTAATGTAAAATTCTAGTCCTTAGAGGCTACTATTACAAACTTTTAAAAATAATTAAGAAATGTAGTTTAGCAGTTAGTCATCTATATCAATAAAGTCTGTGGCCATATTAGGTATGTTTTCCAGGTCAGAGATATATTTCAGATAAGCAGATGTCCTTCAAACACTTCAGAGACTTGCAAAATATGGCATTTAAGATGTTTTAAATACATGTTTTTCATGACAGTGAAGTATGTCTGCTTCTGTTAGTACCAATTTACTTCAAAATAAGATGATGAGTATCGAAGAATCTCCATATGGAGTTTGCTTTCATTGTGACAAAGTTATTAAGTGGGAAAGAACTTACCCTTGTCTCGATTGCTTACAGTTTGCTGTCCAAATTGGACAAGCATGACAGGACAAAAGGTGAGAGCCAAACATTGTCAAGACAAGATAGGACAGTTCCTCAAAATTCTGGCTTCACCAAAAAGTCTGTCAGATATTCTAGGCCTCTAGGTCAAAGAAAGATGTTTCAATGTTGAAGAGGAAACTTGCATGACTGTCCAGGCATCCAAATGTCACTGTCTTTTCTATAACATTGGAAGTTGTTGGCTCCACACTTTCTGCTTATTCAGGTAATATTATACCCTTCTTAGGTCTTTAATGAGGTTGAGGACAGTTTGCCTTGTTAGTAAATTCAGAAAAGACACTCACAAAAATATATAAAGTGTATAAGTTTGAGAGCCATAAAAGCTTAAATTGTTTATCTAAGAAAATGTTTTGAGGTCTAAAATGATCATTTTGGATTGATAATACAAGTTAGGATAGAAAGTGAATTAGGTACAAAATTTTATACAATGTTTGCTCCATTTTCTGTCCTGTCTTTCAGATAAGATAGGATATCACTTTTTTAATCCATTATTTATCATATCTTATCCAAAAGATGACACAGATAATGGAGTATTTTCTCTGAATTTGCCAAATGTAAATGGACTGGACATTGAGAATATAATTCTTGCCCAATAGTTGTTTTATTGTATATAGTTTTACTGAGTTGGAGCTAAAACCTTTCATTTGTATGTAAACAAAAAGGGGGAAATGTTGTGGGGTATTTAAATCACACTCATATACTCCCAAGACTGCCAGTAAAGTTTACTTTGAATCAGAGGGCAGAGCTAGATACTAGCTGACCAAAATTAGCCATTGATATTTGGGAGAACTGAGGACATATAGAGAGACACAGGAAGCAGGTATAGAAGGGTTTAAAGATTCTTGGCCCTTTTGGATTGAGGAAAATAGAGAGAGGGACAATGGCTGCTTTTCCACCATTTCTCTGATCTATCAATTTCTTAACCTAATATCTGACTCCTGAGTTTTTATTGGTAAACAATAATTAGATGAATACTTCAAATATGTAAATGTTGAATTAGTCATTTGAATGAGCAGTGGCTTTCTTACAATTTAATGATTTGTGTTAATGTTGACTCGACAGTGCTTAAATTTACCTTCCTCATATCTTTAAATTAAAAAAACAACAACTAAAAGACAATTTTGCTAGAGCTTTTTCCATATTGTTAACAATCATTAGATTAAAAAAATACAAAAAATACAAATTGAATAAACAAGTTTTTTTTAACCAAATATGCTTTTGTTAATTCTATTACTTTTTTATTTATAAAAATTAGAGCATTTTGATACTACAAATACTGACTATAGGGCCAGTTACATAGTTCATTAAACAAGTAGAACTGTCACCAAGTCTGAAGACCTGACATCTATACCTGAAATTCATTTAGTAATAAGAGAGAATAAATAGTTATTTTTGACCTCTTGATACGCACCAATATATGCATATGTGTGCTCACAAACTTATATGTACATGTATCACAAATAAACAAATATAAATAAAAAACACTGTCTAGAGTTTATAAAGATTCTTCCTAATCATTTATTTTTAGTACACCTAGTGTAAGAAGATAAATTATTTATTTTGCTCTCATCGTGTATGACAAAAGCTTGAAGTGACTTATTTCTAGAGTTTTGACAAATTATAATCCTTATAACCTGAAAGTTATTTCACAGAGAAATCTCTTTTTAGAATTATAATTTTTCTCTTTAACTGACTTGATTTATTTTTCACAATGGCTTTGCAGAGTGTCATAATAAGTCTCTTCATGTTTCTAACATGGAAAATCTTGGCATTTTCTGTCTGCCAAAACCAGTCATTATAATATTTCTGTTATCCTTTCCCATTTAATTAATCAAAAATTCAAAATCTAAGACCAAAGGAATCTGCCTTGCTTTAATATATAATTAACATATTGGAAAAAATGAACAAATATACTAAATTGGTTCTCTAGTCTAAAATGTCAATATTAACTAAAAGTAGTGAGTTATAAGACAGACATATCTTGTCATCTCTATAGTTACGTTAGTTAGGTTATTCAGATTTACAGATACATAGGTCAGATGGACAGGTAATCTTCAAACACTTCATAGACCTAGAGAATATGGCATTTAAATAACTTAGAATTCTGTTGACATGAGACACAATTGCTCCTGGCTGCACCAATTTGATCCAGAGAGAATGTTGGGCTTCTAAGACATTTCCATTTAGAAGTTTGTCTTCTTGGCACAAAATGGCCTACTGGGCAAAAAACTGCCCTTGCCTTGACAGCTGACAGTACGAATGCAATGCTGTCCTTTCTGGACAAGCGGGACACAAGGAAAGCGACCACTGTACTCTGCCAAGACAGGGTAAGATGGTCTTTCAGAATTCCTGCTTCTGAAAATGGTCTGTCAGATACTTTAGGCCTATAGCCAATTTAAATGCACCAACAATGCTGAGAAACATTAGGTGACTGTCCAGGCTGCCAGCTGTCTTGGTCTACTCTTGCAAGATTCCCAAAAGTTGCTTGCATTCATCTACCATTTCTCGGGTACCATTATATTCCTTCTCAGGTCTTTAATGGGATTGAAGATTAGCAGTTATAGTTACAACTTAGTAGATAGAACATATTAAGTATTAGATTCAGGTTCTTTAGGATAGGACACCTTTTGGAATGATCTTTGTAACATGCCATTTACCTATGCTCTATACTTCTCTGGATTTTAGTATGTGTTTCTTGCTTGATATTGTTTGCATTAGTTGTAGTTCCATCTTATCTAGGTCATTATTCCTGGATAATATTTGATAACCATTCCTTTCTATATAGTCTTGTATTAGGTTAGAACCTTCTTATTTAGACAAAAAGGGGGAGAAGCAGTGGGTAGCCATTCCAGCTTTGATCTGGAAGTTCTAACCCCCATTGAGACTTCGGCAACTGTCACGCCTACAAGGCAGGGCCAAGGGAGGTGCCTGGAGACCTGAGATCTGGATGGGCCAGCGCTCTCCCTGTGTTCCGGGACCCTGGATGGTGGAGGTGGGCCAAGCAGAGCTCCAGAGAACACCGCTGGACTGCGATACACCTTCCCCAGACCCTGAGACCTACCTATCCCTTAATTTGTAAGTTATGCCATTAAATAAATCTCCTTTTAATTAAAAAAAAAGACAGGCATATTCTTTGAGTCTTAACAAATGTTAACAAAGTCACAAACATTATTGTAATTATCTATAAAATCAATGACACGGAAAATACAATATTTTTATGTGGAATTTTGATCTTTCACTGTGCTACACTATGTTCATTGACTAAATAAAATTATTTTGGCAAGTTATATATATATATATATATATATATATATATATATATATATATATATATATATATATATATATATATGTAATTTTTATCTTTAATTAATATAGTTGATCAGATAATGATTAATTCACAATTTAATGGGCAAAAGCAAGCAACAAACAGGTATGATTAGATCTATTTTTATAATAAGAAAAGACATAATCTGCCTATTTCTGAATGATAAGGAAGCAGGGGAACAAAGGACTGGTCACTGCTGATAATATATGACTGTCTGAAAGTAGGAACTGTGAGCACAATTTCTAGATAAATTCATGTTTTGCTATATACAGATAACCAATAAATGTTCATTGAGTGTTTCACATTCTACACATTATCAGATTGAAACAATATTCATGTCAAATGTGCTTTGCTACTAATGTACAAAAATAGTTCTAATATTTCATTCAAAAATATGATAGAGACATTTGTGTTCAGCTTTTACATATTATCTACAAATGTATAAATAGTCTAATCTGTTAAGGTTAAAAAGAAATGACCAATAATTTCACTCAGTGGCTTAACTATTTGCACAGTTGTGAAACAAAGTTAAAATATTATTTTAGTAAATGGCAAATTTAGGAGACAATACCTAGTCAGTAGCATTATAACTATCTTTTCAAATGTACATGATTTTTGAATGCACATATTCTTTTCATTAAACATGCCATTTAAGAATAAAAATGGAGAATATATGCTAAAAGTTATAAAACATCTCTTAATTTTTATTGTCAATATAAATATTTAACTATCAAAAACCATGATGACACATTGCTATATAATGAATACATTTTAATTTAAACGTTATTTTCCAGTATACTGTGTGTTTTATTAATCTTTGTTTTTTATTAAGCCTATAATCGTTTCTTTTTTCCTTTTGCTTTTTAGAGACAGGGTTTCTCTGTGTAGTTTTTGTGCCTGTTCTGGATCTCACTCTTTAGACCAGGCTGGTCTTGAACTCACAGAGATCCACCTGGCTATGCCTCCTTAGTTGTAAGATTAAAGGTGTGTGCCAATGCCACCCTCCATAATTGTTAAATAAGAAAAAAACAGAATTTAGTAGTGAGGTCATAGGAAGCTTGAATAGTAGTGAGCAGTTACTAACTTAAAATGAATGACCTATATATACATACTAATTTTTATTTTAGTTTCTACAACATTTAACATATATAACTCTCTAATATCAAAATTGTATAATTGTTCACACATACAGCGGTTAATTGTGGGACTGGTTTATCAGGACTTACATGCTTCTGTAGCTGTGACACTCAGGTTGTACCAAGCACTGACTTCCCTGTCAAGGAGGTTAGTGGTAATTATTGTTCCATTGTCATTGATATGGAACATTTTGCTTCCAGTGAGTGAATATCTGCACCAAAAGAAAAAGAGATATAAAACAGATAGTATTATTTAATTTATAGCAATTTTATAGGAAGCGCCCACTTTCAAAGCTGTAAGGTAAATTAAGTGTATTTTTTCCATAGGTAAGATGATGTTTAATAATTCCACCAAACTACATTCATATATTAGATTCTGGTCAGAATAAATGCTGTTTTAAAACAGCAATTAATTGGAAAAAAAAGAGACCTTGAATTTGAAAGAGAATAGGGGTCTTATATGGGAAGAATGAAAGGGAAGAAGCAAATGATGTGATTATATTATAATGTCCAAAACTAACATGTTGTTTGTTGTTGTGGTAGCCACAGAAAAGTATAGTCCTTACCCCTCATAAGGGAAGCTTCTCTTTGCAACAGATACAGACCATTACAGAAAATCACAACCAATCACAGAGCTCTGGGGCCCTGTCCTGGTGCACATTGCTACAAAACACTCCCACACCTCCTGCTCATGGAATCTTGCTGATGAAGGAGCAGAAATATTATAGGAGTCAAAGGATCAGGAAAAAAAATTGTGAGATTATTTTTGCCAGTAATGACAGAAGCTACAGCCTTGAAATCTCATCTTCCTGACTGTGGAAACATGAGCTGACCAAGGACAATATCAGTTTACATGCCAAAGTCGATGTGAAAATCCTAAGGAGATTTCAACCCTACACAAAAAATTGCAGGTAACTAAAGAATGCTGAGGATGGGAGAAATAATCTTACCCAGGGAGGAACATACAAAATGGTATCAAATATCAAATGGTCAACTGTGAAAACATGTATACAAGTATACATGTACACAATATGTATACACATACATATGTATATACATATATTCATGTGACAACAATTAATAAAAACAGAGATCATGGATTTGAAAGAGAACAAAGAGGTTATATATGAATGGAAGAATAGTATAATTATATTACAATCACAAAAATAATATAAGAATAAGCTGTCGATAGACAAGCTTGATTGTCTGAACCAAAATGGGAACATTAAATAATCATCACAGCCCTCACTAATAACATTGTGACTTTGCTGTCGAGTGTAGATTCTCTGCCCCACCCCTCCAAGAAGAAACAAAAGCTTGTGACCATTTTGTATGGCTTATCTGGAAACTTTTGTAAATCGTATGTTTTAGTAAAGTTTTTTTTTTTTGTTATTTTCCTTTAAAAAAAAAAAAAGAAGGCCATTCAAATTAAGCTAGATAACAAGGAGAACCCTCAGAGGGATGCATGGATCACCATGGAAAAAGGAAATAGATGAGATCTCCTGAGTAAACTTGGGGAAAGGGAGGGCAATAGAGGGTAGGGGATGGGGCATGAGAACATAAGGGAACAGGATGGTCAAGCTGGAACAGGGACAGAGTGGGAGAGCAATGAATGAGGTATCTTGATACAGGCAGACATTATGGAGATAGGGAGAAAACTTGTACTAGGGAAGTTCCCAGAAATCCAGAAGAATGACCCCAGCTTAGACTACTAGCAATAGTGGAAAGGGTGCCTGAACTGGCCTACCCAGATCAAGATTGATGAATACTCTAAATGTCATCATAGAGCCTTCTTCCAGTAAATGATGGAAGCAAAGGCAGAGGTCCACAGTCAAGCACCAGGCTGAGCTCCTGTAAGTCAGTTGTAGAGAGGGAGAAGAGGAATTCTATGAGCTAGGGGCATCAAGGTCATGATGTGTAAATCTATTGAAACAACCAAACCAAGCTAGTGGGAACTCATGAGCATTAGACCAACAGCTGTGGAGTTTGCATGGGACTGGACTAAGCCCTCTGCATAAGAGAAACAGTTGTGTAGCTTGGTCTGTTTAAGAGGATGTGGGAGCAGGATCTAACCTTGATGCATAAGATGGCTTTTGGAGCATATTACCTATGGTGGGGCACCTTGCACACCCTTGATGTAGGGGGAGGAACTTGGACCTGTCTCAACTCAATGTACCAGGCTTCCTGACTCCCCATGAGAGATCTTACCTTTTTGGAAGAGGGGATGGGTGACTGAGTTGAGAGGAAGGCTGGTGGGGAGCAGGAGGAGGGATGAGAGTGGGGTTTGTGGTTAGTATGTAAAATGAACAAAAATTTTCTTAATAAAGACAAATGAAAAATATTTATGCTAGCGCAGATACACAGTGCTTACTCTCTCCATTGTTTCCTTATAGAAATCCTTGTCTTCATGCATTTATGCCAATTGTTTGCTAGTCCTTAATCAGAAGATTTATTATTCTTAGCCTGGAGTTGAGTTGAAAATTTCAATATGTGTTTTTCCTTTTATGATAACTTATAGTATTTCTTAGAAAAGATTACACACAGAAATCCAGGACAACCTAGATCACTGATTCTCAACTTTCAGTTCATGAACCCTCTGGTAGTCAGCCTTTCATAAGGGTCACACAACAGATATCCTGAATATCTGCCATTTATGTTACAATTTGTAGGATTACAAAAATTACTGTTATGAAGTATCAACAAAAATAATTTTATGGTTGGGGGTCAGCACAACATTAGGAAACTATATTAAAGGGTCATAGCTTAAAGAAGGTTAAGAACCACTGGCTTAGAACTCATACTGCTGCCCAAGGTCATTATAAAACCCACAGCAATCTTCCTGTCTCAGATGTCTAGCCACAGATGTTACATGCATAGGCCATCATGCTTGACTGTTACCTTGTTTTACAAAGTAGGAAACAAAGTCATAAAATTGATCAATAGTAAGACATTGTGTTCTTTTGACATTCATCATTAATTTCGAAGTGACAAATATAATTGGTAATTTCTCACTAATCAATTAAATTATATTTTGAAACAATATTCACTCTAAAGAGCTGTTACAAGATAATCTTCATGTAGAATCATCTGAAAATCTTTAAATCCAGTTTTGTTTCTATGCTTGAGAAATCTATTTATCTAATATCTTTAAGGAAACTATAATTACAGAAGATATCATCAGTTTCTCCAGGATGTTTGTTCATTTTCATGATCCAGCCTAAAGTTCTTCACTGCATTTCACTGTTGTATTTCCTTACTTGCCACCATACTTTTTCAACGTCTTTTATTTCAATCACTCTTTTATGTTGGAAAAAAAACAAACTTTTATATCAACTATTTTTAACTTTTACAATTTTTGCATGATTAATTTTACTCACTTCACACTGTTTTAATACATCTTGAGGCTCTCTTCTTTTATAGGTTATGTTTTCACACATTGAAGTTCTTTAAAAGTATTAGTTGTTTGTTTCAATAAAATGTCTTGTTTTGTCATTTTCTCAAGATCAAAATAATTGTTATACATTTTGGTCAAGAATAACCCAAGCATGGTGTTTCATTTTCACAGTATCATATCAATGGAACATAGTACTGACTCTGTCTTTCCCATAGTGATTGTATGTATACTTGATTACTTGATTAGGGCAGTGTCTGCTAATTTCTTCATCAGAGGATTCTTTTCCTCTATTTTTCTAAAGAACTCTTGAAAATAATTTGAAACCATCTGATTTCTTCTCAATCAATCACCCAGCACTTTTTCAACAACTCAGTAAAGGCAGAGGTGTTTGACATGCCCAGAGGAATTAATGATGATTTTTGCTCTTTTAATCATATGTATCCAAATGACCACATTGCTATAAATAATGACATGACTCTTTATATTGGTTTCATTTCATAAATAAGTTTTTACAATGATCATCCATGGATTTTGATATCTATTTTCCTGGGGAACACTTCATGTGAATATTGAAAGATAATCATGCAAAGAAGGCATTGAAGCTTAATTATAATAAAGGTGCCAAGCCAACATTATCTTCCTCCCCTAAGACTCCTGTATTAATCTGTTCTCTCTTTTTTAGCTTTATACATTTGTTTATTGACACAGACATTTATTTTATTATCATTATTTGAAAGTATGTGTGAGTGTGTATGTGTGTGTTTGTGCACACATGCCTACATTAATTTGAGCATGCACAACCTGTGAGTAGAAGTCAGAGGACAACTTTCATGACTTAGGTCTTTTCTTCTGCCATCCAAATACCATGAACATAACTTAATCAAATCATCTTCAGCATGGCAGAAAACAATTTGTTTCCCATCACTGGTCATCTTACTGCCTCACAGTGATATATATATATATATATATATATATATATATATATATATATATATATATATATATATATATATATATATATTTATAATCTGTCTATCTATCTATCATCTATTTTATGTATATATATATATATATATATATATATATATATATATATTCCTTTAACCTTAGTGTACAGGTAGAATAACATTACAATTACAGCCCAAAAAAACCATATTAGGGAAATAGCCATGTGCTGTGGGATGGTCAGTATGTGCTCTGATTGGTCAATAAATAAAACACTGATTGGCCAGTGGCCAGGCAGGAAGTATAGGCGGGACTAACAGAGAGGAGAATTGAGAGAACAGGAAGGTGAAGAAAGACACTGCCAGCCGCGCCATGACAAGCAGCATGTGAAGATGCCAGTAAGCCACGAGCCATGTGGCAAGGTATAGATTTATAGAAATGGATTAATTTAAGAGATAAGAACAGTTATCAAGAACCCTGTCATGGCCATAAAGTTTGTAAGCAATATAAGTCTCTGTGTTTACTTGGTTGGGTCTGAGCAGCTGTGGGACTGGCGTGAGACAGAGATTTGTCTTGACTGTGGGCCAGGTAGGATCAGGAAAACTCTAGCAACAATCAAGGAAAAATTTAGTTTGTAGAATGCATTACTCAGATGCAAATGTTCTCTGTCTGAAAGGGACTCATACACTCAGTGCTATCTAGGTATCAGTGGAATGATGGTTTCTTTCTTTTGAGATCATAAATGAAATGTGCTATAAAATTCTTCATATGTTTTTGTGTCAAAGTATATATATATATATATTCTTATGTGTGTATATGTCTATATATGTGTGTATATTTCAGATACACACACACACACACACACACACACACACACACACACACACACACACACATATATATATATATATATATATATATATATATATATATATATATATAGTTTTCTGATGAAACAAAATACAGTAATCCAGGATAAAGGAATATAATCTCATCTAAAAATGTACTCTCATGGGGTACAGCTATTGCTCTGAAGCCTATCACAGAGATAAGACCTTGCCTTTTCTGACTCCTGGTGCCCTGATAATCATAAACTTGCTGTGGTTTTTAGAAACATCACTTCAATATCTAAGTATACTGGCACATGATACTGTTCTCTCTGTGTGTTCCTCATAGTTTTTACATAACACAAACTATATCAGATCAAGGTATACCTTTGTCTTTTGCTTGTCTGTACCTCTAGAGTAACTATGTTCCAACAATATTCTGTTCCAAACAAATTGTGCAATGGATCAACATATCTTTTGAGAGAATTCTCAGCACAGATTATGTTTTAACTACTCTTGGGCAATTGTCTTCTCAGGAATATTTTAGGTGGTTGGATTAGAGCAAGAATCTGCTGTGGGATAATGCTTTTGTACACTGGTTTAATAAAACACTGATTGGCCAGTAGCCAGGCAGGAAGCATAGGTGTGATAAGCAGACAAGAGAATTCTGAGAAGAGGAAGGCTGAGTCAGGAGACACCAGCCTGCTCTCCAGGGAGCAGCATGTAATGACACATAGGTAAAGTCATGGCAACATATAGATTAACCGAATGTGCTTAGTTTAAATGTAAGAGCTAGTCAGTAGGAATCCTGAAATAATGGCCAAGCAATTTTAATTAATAGAAGCCTATATGTGTTTACTTGGGGGATGCAAGTGGGAAAGATTTGTCCTGACCGCTGGCAGGCTGGTTACAGGAAAACTTCAGCTACAAGAATCTTCTGCTAATTCCTTGTGGTAAGCTCCATTACAATCACAAGTTATTTTCTAAATCTTGAAATTATGTGTTCAGAAATTAAAAACACATTCTTTGCTTCTCATTTGTTATATAATATTTATTTTGCTTGGTTATTGTGCAGGACAGAATTTCTAACACTAGGTTTTCTTGGAATACTCAAAGAAAACATCCTCATGTTCTTCCCAGTTAAGGGAAAATCAGAACAATGTCATTAAATCTGCATTTGAAAGGCAACATCCTAAGAAAAGAGATAAAAAAGAAAGAAAATAATATCTGTATATCTGAACACCACACGAGAACTTCTGGGTATAAAAAGATTCTTCAAAATTAGATGAGTTCTCAGCCTCCAAATTAATATGTGCAAGATTATGTAGTTTCCTGGTTATGGGCTAGGAAAAGTTAGCTGGCAGAGGAAATTGGTGAAAGTAAATATATAAACTATTGAATTTTATGTTCATCTCAATTATATCTCATTTTGGGAAAAAAATAGTAACATAGTAACTAAAACTAGGCTTTAAAAAATAGGACATATTTGTTTCCCTATGCAAAGATATAAATTTGTCTCACCAATTTTAATATCACTTCTGTCTTTCATATGCCTAGGAAACTAATTTTTAAAAGTATTTTTAATTTAATAGTATTCATACAAGTTATATATTGATCAGCATTATTTAGGCTCTGAAACGGTATATTCAAGAATATCTTTCCCCACATATCTATTGCTCAGCTAAGATAGTAGAGGGGACAGCAAGATGACTAATTTGGTAAAAGCTTCTGTCTCAAAGACTGAAAATCTGAGTTCAATCTCTAGGAAGGACATGAGCAAAGGAAAGAATCAACTCACAGAAGTTTTTCTCTGAGTTTAACACACACATAATGTGAACAAGCTCAAATGTATTCACACATAGTTGTGTCATGCATACACACACGCACACACACACACACACACACACACACACACACAAGTGTACTGTGCTGAATTTTAGGTGAGGATTGTCTATTCTTGAATATTTTTCACCTTAACTGTTGCAATGCATTTGGGACACAGAATATTTAAACTTGTTTATTATTTTTATTTTATTTTTTGACAAGTCCGTTAAATAATGCATAAGATCCAAGTTACAAAAGTCTTGTTTTGTATTTTGAATGGACATTATTTCATGCCAACCTGTTCAGTCATTTATTAACATAAGTAAACCTAAAGACCTACCTTATAGGAGATTGTCTTCGATCTGTGTCTATAGCAGATACTCTTCCTACCATTGATCCATATGGCATTTCTTCAGGAATTCCAAATATATAATATGGTAGGAGGAAAACAGGAGGTTCATCTTCATCTTCCACTTGAACTTTAATGTAGGTTGAGGAGGCATTTTCATGGGCTGATGCAAGTTCCTCGTCAACATGGCGGTTTTTAACTTTAGCTCTAAAGCCATAATGGCTCTGGTTCTCAAAATCAATTTTCTACAAATAAATGGAGTGTGTTCAGAACAAATAATTTTAGTTAACCCAGATTAATTTAGAAAACCTTAACTTATTTATTTCTCAATTTTTTTCCTCCACATTTCATTTTATTGTATGAAAATTCGTTGGTTACAGTCATTAATTAGGTATCAAATTAAAATTTTTTCAGACCACTACCAAAAGCTTATTTGAAATAACTATACTTTAATTTGGAAATAAAATTTTACATTTATGGTCTTAGTTTAGAAAGTTGAGAATTAATATCTTATTAGTTCTAAATTAGTTTTCATTTGAAATAATTTTAAGAACACATGTAAATTAAGAAGTCCTTTAAAAATCTACATTGCTTATCTCTAAATTATTTGTATTTCCAAGCTACATATCATGATCTCTCAGTTCAATTATTAGTGAAGCAAGCAATTACAAATGATTACAAATAATTATGTGTATTTTATTAGATTTTGCACTATTCTTTAAAGAAAATGATTTAAATATTTGTACCTTTCTTAGTATAATTATACCTTCTTGAGTCTCATTATCAGTGATGATGCCAAAGGTTTGTGAATCGTCCTCTTCAATGCTGTAGTCCATTTCTGCATTCTCTCCTATATCATCATCATAGGCCATAATTTTTCCTATAGATGTACCACTGGGTGCAGACTCAGATACAGTGAAGCGGTAGAAACCTTTGCAAGCAAAATTTAAGTTATTTATGATAAATTTTTATTATATGAAGCTTCCAGCTTTATCATATTTTCGTTGTGCTTGTCTTTCATGCTAGCTACATGCTCTGTATTTTAATGTCTTTTTATCTCTCTTAGATATGTACATAAATGTTTAATATTTCCCCTTTAATTAGAAATTGGAGAATTTTTTTACATCTATTTAATTATCAGAATTTTCTCCAAAATGCATCCTACTGTTATGCCTACTTCAAATTTATATTTACACATTTCTTCTCAACACTATTAGTTTGTTTTTATTATATCCTAATGTCAAACTTAATTAAGCTTGCTAAAAATAATTTTTAAATTTTGCCTGAACAATTTTTGATATCTGATGTTACAAATAAATTTTAAGTATAAAATTAGACTGAACATAAATGATTGAGCTTAAATATAATAGTATAATTCTGAGACTTTGATCTTGAATTGCAAAACCATAATAAAAACAGAAAGTTTAATCCAAAAAAAGATGGAAAGTAAATATAGTAATAGTTTAACAGTATTGGAGATGATGATCATCTCATTGAATGGTCAAAAAAAAATTATGGCAGATGACTTAGAAAAAATCTGATGTAACTATAAAATACATTTATGTGTGTCTTTACTTATTGAGAAATAACATGAATAAATGTCATAAAGAAAGATACCATTAGTGTAATATTATTTATGATGTGCACTGAGAGATTGGAATGGTCTTTCATGTCAATATTCTAAGAACAGTAATTTGGAAAATGAAAAAAAAATTACATAGAATAAAATTAAATAGATGTTTGTTCTATTATGAGTTTCCTCAAATCATTTCACAAATGTTTTTTGGAAGTTTTGTATTGCTTTCAACATAGAATATTACTAGTTAAATATTTCTGATATTATACCACTTTATTTTTAGAGAAAAGTAACCATTTGTACACAGGTGCTTCTTTCATGTAAAAAAAAAACCCTGTCATATTTAAAATTAAAATAATGACTTGCTATCATACATTTTAAAGAAGTTTATGGGGACTGAAAAATAGATCAAAGGTTAATTAATTGCTCTAACTGCTCTTTCAGAGGGTCAAAGTATAATTCCCAGCTCCTATATCAGGTGTCCACAAATATCTGTAACCCAAGTTCCAGGGGATTCTGGAACACATCCAAGAGGCATACTCAGCCACATACATTGCTGTGGGATAATGCTTTTGTATACTGGTTTAATAAAATGCTGATTGGCCAGTAGCCAGGCAGGAAATATAGGTGGGATAAGCAGACAAGGAGAATTCTGGGAAGAGGAAAGCTGATTCTGTCTGTTTACTTGGGGGATGCTAGTGGGAGAGATTTGTCCCGACTACTGGCAGGCTGGGACACAGAACAACTTCCAACTACAATTGGCACCCAATGCAGGGCAAGAGTTTCCACCTAAAACCTGAGAAAAGCCTTTAAAAAAAGATTCTAAAACGGAGCTAAAAAACAGCTTCCTAGTGTGTCTCTCAGGCCAGCTGCAGCCTGCAGGCTTGAGCATGGTGGATTTAGCCTTTTCTATTAAGGACAAAAAATAAAAAGATTTCTGAGATAACACTGCTTTAATGGAGGTATAAACCCACTGCTTCCAAGAGTTGGTGGTACACATAGCTCCCAGAGCCAGAGCTTGTGGTAAACCTACCCCTGCCATGTTGGAAAACTGAGGTGGGCAGAGCTAGCATCCAAAGCTGCCATTTCAGTCCTAGTAAAGATGCAGGTTAAATTGTTATTGGTCATAGTCAATATCTTTCTAAAAGAAGGAAGGGGGAATATAATATGAAAATATAGGACATAGATATGATAGGTTAAAAGTGTGGATTGTCAACCTACTTTTAAAGAGCAACTTGTTTTACATTGCTATGGATTTTAGTGTATTGATACAAATTTAGAGTTGATTTTGTTATACTATATATACATTTCTACTCTTATTTAAGGTATTATGTTTATGTAACTCATTTAAATTGTAATGGATAATTAAGAAATACTGATTAATAATTAGTCTTCTTTGATAGTCAAACATATAGTCATGTTAAGTTTTCTAGATATACATAGATGTAATTCAGTTAGGTAGGTAATCTTCAAACACTTCAAAACCTACATATTATGGCATTTAGAGTTTTTTTTTTTAAACTTAGACTTTCTGAACAGTAAGACACATCTGCTCCTGGCAGTACTGATTTACTTCAAAGAGAAAGATGGGCATCACAGACACTCCATATGGAGTTTATCTTTTTCTTGGCAAAAATAGCCCTTTGGGCAAGAAATTGTTCTTGCCTGGACTGCTTAACAAAATATTGTATCAACTGGACATGCAGGACCCATAGAAAAGTGACCACTGAGCTTTGCAAGGTGAGATGGTCCTTCATGTTCCTGCTTCACATAAGAAACTGCCAGACATTATACAGGACACACAGAGAAGTGACTGAGATACTCTAGGCCTATAGGTTGAAGAAGAGATGCCCCAATGCTGCAGAGGAACTTTGGGTAACTACCCAGGTAGCATGTTGTCTCTGTCATTCTAGATTTTTGGAAGTTGCTTACAATGCATTTCCTGTTTACTTAGGTAATATATTCTCTGGGGTCTTTGATGTAGTTGAGACTAGATAGTTATAATTATAATTTTCCTTGATATGCTAAAAGATAAATTAGATATGAAACCTTAGACTCACAAACATAGGATAGATAGATTATTTTCTTAAATTTTGCTAAATACAAATAGACTAGATATTGTAACTGTAATTCCTGCTTGATAACTGTTATATGTAATTTTATTATGTTAAAGTTAGAACCTTCCTTTTTAATTAAACAGAAATGGGGAAATGCTATGGAATAATGCTTTTGTATACTGGTTTAATAAAATGCTGATTGGCCAGTGCCAGGCAGGAAGTATAGGTGGGATAAGCAGACAAAGAGAATTCTGGGAAGAGGAAGGCTGAATCAGGAGATGCCAGTCTGCCATCCAGGGAGCAACATGTAACAGCACACAGGAAAAGCCATAGGACACATGGTGACATATAAATTAACAGAAATGCGCAGAGTTTAAGTGTAAGAGCTAGTCAATAGTAAGCCTGAGCTAGTGGCTGAGCAGTTTTAATTAATAGAAGCCTCTGTGTGTTTACTTGGGGGATGCGAGTGGGAGATATTTGTCCCGACTGCCAGTTGGCCAGGACAAAGAAAAACGCACAAATACAATACATCTAATAAAAATCAATCTTTAAAATTAAATGGAATTTCTTTTGGCTTAAATATTATAGAGTTTATATTAAGCTACTATTTTTCAAAATAGAAACAATGAAATATTTTCTTCTACCAGCACTTTTTCTGTACAATTTGCTCTATATTTTTAAAAAGTGTCATTTCAGCATAGATTCTTTACAAAGTCCTTTCATTGAATCATGTAATAATATGAGTGTATTCAGATGCTTTCCTTAGTTTATGGCCTTGAACTCAAAGCAGATAATAGCCATGATACATGTAAGTGCTAAGGTATTGTTATAGTGTGACTGTTTTACATTTTTCGTAAAGTAGGGTGTATTCATAGTTGACAAGCTTTTTTTTTATCAATTGAAGTATATCTGAGGAAAGAAAATTCTAGGAAGATCAAAAAGGCAAAGTCTTGAGTGTTCTAAGAAGAGAAGAGAGGTAAAATGATAGAGGCTGAATTATGTGTTCATGGACAGGGCAGTAATGACAGATCATTTTTGAGCATTACATGAAATCAGTTTATATCAAGGATTTGATGTTTTCATGAGTGAGATGAATCACTATGGTGAGAATATCTGTTATACATCTAGCAGTTTCACTAAGGCTGCTTTGGATGGGGAAAATAGATCAAAGACATTTGCAGAAATATTAGATGAGAATCCCTTGTGATGAGAGGAGAAATGAAGGGATTGACATGAACCAAAGAGAGAAGTGAAGCTGTGGGAAGTACTTGAGCACTTTAAAGGTAGGATCAGGAGAATTTTCAGACTATTCAAGGTTTTTTTCTAAGAAATAGAAGATAAAAATAAATGGTTGAAGATCTTTAGAAGATCATTTTCCATTATCACGTGATAAAGACATGAGATGTGTACAGAGATATATGTGTGTGGTGGAAATTTGTAATATTTATCTGCATGTTTGTGTATGAAGCATATATATGGTGTACATATTTGTGTGTGTGGTGTGTGTGAGTATATGTGTGTCTGTGTTTATGTGTAATACATGTGTGTGTATGTGTGCATCCATGTATATGTATGTGGGAGAGAGTGTGTGATGTGGTGTGATGTGTGTGTGTATGTGTGCATACATGTATTCTGATTTGCTCACAGACTATGAAAAATTAGAAATTTGTCATAACAAACATCAATTCAAGCAAATTAAGAAATTAGACTGGAAATGGGTTTGTCACAGTTTAGTATTAGGTAGATGAGTAATTTTTCATATACTGTCATGTATTATTTGAAAACGTAAGATTTCTTCCTGGGCAATGGGAAATTTGAATTTGTTATTAATTGAGAAGGGAAAATATAAGAATAAGAGATGTGAAGTTTATGTAAGACTATAGCATGAATTTGAAAAAAAATGCCATATCATAAAAATATGGAATGTATACAAAGGAAGAAGTTTCATTATAGTCTAATAGCACCAGTGTTATATAATCTTTGTTTGTTTTTCAATTGATGATCCAATGTCATTATGTAGTACATAATATTGTTCTGTTAAACTAGAAGGTTTACTACTTATGGAATAGATGAGTGAGTGTGAGTAGAGTTATGTCTATAATCTTTAGAGATGGAAATTTTGTATGTGCTTAAACATTAAAATTCAATGTAACTATCAACCTAATTGTTTCCAAATGAAACAATGAAAGATATCAAGGTTGAAAGTTCAGCATATCAACAACTGCTGAATGGAATTCCAAGACCACTGAACAACTATATATACCGCCATCCCTTTCAATGCAGGTGGTTCTACATAGGGAGAAATGCAAAAAGAAACACTTTTGAGGAATATGAAAAGTGGGGAGAGAGATTGGATAGGAAATCAAAAGGTAGTTTTCCCAGGTGATATAGCTCATGATATAATCTCTGTACTTGGAAAATTGAGGCAGCAGAGTAGCTACATGTTGGAAATCATTGTGACCTGGGGATGTCTTTCTGTATGCTGTGAATGTGTTGCTCTAATTGATTGATAAATAAAACACTGATTGGCCAGTAGCCAGGCAGGAAGTATAGGCAGGACAATGAGAGAGAAGACTGGGAAGTGGAAGGATGTCAGGAGACGCTGCCAGCTGCTGCTACAACTGTGAGAAGCAAGATGTAAAGTACTGGTAAGCTATAATCCACGTGGCAACTCACAGATTAATAGAAATGGGTTACTTTAAGATATAAGAACTAGATAACAAGGAGCCTGCCATGGCCATACAGTATATAAGTAATATAACTCTCTGTGTGGTTGCTTGGGTTTGAGCACCTGTAGGAGCCAGGTGGACACTGGAGAAAACTCAAGATACAATAGTGATACTAGGTCTTAAAATTGACAGAAGAAACTAACAAATAAAAGACATAAGTGACAAAATTTAAAAAAAAAACAATATAAAAATTAAAATCCAAATAAAATGACAGTTTCATTTCTGTATATATATAATCAACATGAAGAAAATTATGCTATGGCTGATGAATATATTGGCTATTCTCTTTATTCTTTGTTTAGTTCTTACCAAATGTCATTTTATTATAATAATTGATAATTTTTCATACTTTTAAAAATGTCTATAAATGTATTTTTGTTCCTAAAGAGGGACTTCCTGGGAAAAGAAAAACAATGAAATTTCATGTGATTTAACATATACAGTAAATAATCAGAGTAAATGTAATCTTTTCCTGCTAAAGAATAAAAACTAAAATTTTAAGTTAAATTATTGTTTGGAAGTGCAGAATCAATTCCAAAAATGTAAATATGTCAATTTCTTATGATTCCATAAATATGTTTCTTGAAATAATCAAAGGAATCAGGCTTGCAGATAGAATTAAATTGCTAATAAGGTAACACTGACAAAGAGAATTTACCCTGAATCACATTGTGCATAGATATGTCAGTGTGAGAAATATTTACTTCAGTAGATGCTTCTTAGATATATGGTGACTCAAGAATTAGCAGGCAACTTAGGGTTTAAGACTGTCTTCCAACTAATAGCCATCAAGGAAACATACCCAGTACTATCTAGACAGACAACTGAACAATGCAAAAATTCTAATGAGCAAGGAAGGGGATTATGGCCAAAAGATAGAGGAAATGCTCTGGGATGTTTTGGTTATAGCCTAGTGAAGCTCATACCAAAATTTATAAAGATCATAGATAAGTTCTCAGCTTGTGGTAATTTGTGCCTACAACAGTAGAGTATAGATACATTATTCCATCTCTATTTCATGCTTTTATATTAAATTATAGCAGTTCTACATTATCAAATTAGCCCATTTATTTTATATAATTTTTATACTGTTGCAACACTCTGTATATAAAGCAAACTTTAACATCTGTGCATATTCAAATGATTTAAAGCATAATGGAAATTCAAGACACTTTCTACTTACTTTCTTTGAATATTGGCTTGTTGTCATTAATATCTGACAGCCTAATTGATACCGTAGTTGTTCCAGACAAGGCTCCAGGCTGACCAAGCATGTCTCTGGCTTTAATAATTACACAGTATGTATCTTGTAACTCTCTATCCATTTTAGAAGATATTCTTATGACTCCTTTAAAAAAAAGTAGCAAAATTCCAATTATTATCACCCATGGCCTCTTCATAAAAAACTTCTTTTGTTGTTTTGTTTTATTAACAAATATTTTATTAGATCTTTGATACTTTTTTCAATATATTTTGATCATATTTATTCCTAGAAGTCCTCCAAATTCTTCCAGTGCCCCCTATCTCCCTATTGCTCTCCATTTCTTGTCTTTTTCTTTTGTTTTTATTTATTTATTTTTGTAAGTTTTTTTTTAATTTTACATACCAATCCCATTTCCTAGCTAACTTCTTAAGCTTCCCATGATGTAACCCTCATTCTGTTTTTTTCTAGCCACTAAAAGAGAGAACCGTAATAATGTTAAAATTAAGCACTAATTATGTTTATGATTTTTATCAGATCACTAAACATGACTATACCTTTAATACAACATTATAATAGGTGTCACTCAAGTGTTTTGGTAGCCTTAATTTTTTCCCAATTTAAGAAGGAATTTCTTTTATATTTGCTCCATAATTAGGCCAGTCTACTCTGTTTTTCCTTCCCCAAGACTTAGCTTATGATCCTGGTTCAGCAAATTGTCCTTCATAAGAAAGTGTAAGTTACTTTCATTTTCTTTTTCTCATTTGATCCTTCATGTTCAATTGGTAGTTATTGATGAATTAAGAATATGTATTTATTGATATCCATATGTGTATTAGACATCTGTAACTTCTATGATACAAAAGCCATGTTTATGTTTTATTTTTCATTATTTTAAAAAGTATTTAAGATGTTCCAAGAACAAACCTTAAAAAATCTTTTATGTGATATAATGCCTGGAAAAAGTCAGCATTTTACAAAGATTTATGAAGGAATTAAGTACTCATATTTTAATGTTAATGAAACAAATGATAGTACATGAAAGAAAAGATTCAGGGACAGGGAAAACTTGTTTTTCACTGGTGGGAGTCAAAACTGGTACAGCCATATGGAAATGAGTGTGTAGGTTCCTCAGAGATATGGGAATCAATCAATCTCTATACCACTCTTTAACATGTATACTTGAAAAAGCATGCAACATATATATTTGCTTATTCATATTCATTAATATTCTATTTATAATAATTAGAAGCACCTTCCACCTACTGATGAATGCATAGTTAAAATGGGGTACATTTATACAATGAAATACTATTTAGCTATCTAGAAAAAATATAAAACTGCAGATAATGGTTGAAGTTGGAAAAAATCATCCATGTTGAGGTAACCCAGTCTCCAAAGGACAAACATCATTTGTTGTCTATTATAGGTAGATATTACCTTTATACTTTCTATGTGAACACTAAAATCCAAATAACCACAGAGATTATGTGCCTAGTAAAGGACCACTGTGGAGAAGAGGATCTCCCAATGAAGGGAAAATAGTATATAGCATTGTGGAAAGATAAATCAGAAACTAAAATAAGAAGATTAAATAAGGAGGGAATGAGAGAGAAGGATGAAGGATGGAATATGGGGAGTTACAACTAACAGTAAGGTTATTTGAAAAGCCAAGTGGAAAATTACCACTGTAGAAGCTTCTGAAAACATGTACATATATCAAAGGAATCATGGAGGCACCATGTAATAGTGGAAACAGTGACCCAAGTAAAACCTTCAGTGCCTACAGTAGATTATGTCATGTTGAATCACTGGCCAAACAAGTCTCAAGAGGGCCCTAAATATCACAGTCTTTTGAAAGATTATGTGTTTCTCTCTACAACCTCTTTAGGGTCATTTTTCTGAAGATAACACTAACATCATCAAATACAGAAAAATCGACTCAATGCCTTACTGGAAACTTCACATCTGCTGAATAGTATTCATGATGATAGAAGATACTCTACATATAATCATAGGATACAGTTAACCATCAATATCATTCAACTAAAACCTTGGTGACCTACAATAGCAAATTGACTAAAAGATATATTGGTGCAATAGCAGTCCAAATGTTATGAGAGTAACCGATCATATTATAAAATTGTATATAAGGGCCACTCCATGAGATTGAACCCATATCTGGAATTGCTAAAGAGGAAAGAATATGAGAATAGATAGGTCATGTGTCTAGAGGAAAAGCTATTAATGTTATTTGGATAAAGAAACATAGCAATGAAAAGGCTATTGAAATATTTCTATACATATAAATCAGTGCCTTGCTTATATTTCATGAAACATTTTCTTTTTGCAAAACATGGGAAATAAAACAGAGATCCACAGCTGAACAATGTCTAGAAAGAGACATTAGGGTACTCAGTTCTTAATGGATGTCTTCCTCAAACTTTTTTCTTCAGGTTTTAAGTTCTATGCAAAAGAAGAGACAGAGAAACTCAAGTAGAACCAGCCATTGTTCAGCCACTCCCACAAGTTCTGCACCAACTGTACTCAAGAACATCTTGCATGCAGGACAGATTTTGGATAGAACCTTTTGGGGCTGTGTAGCTGTCCTCATCTGTCCACAGAAAAACTTCCCTGCTTGCAGAAGACAGCCAGTTCAGGCTCCATATACTCCATTACTAGGAGTCTTCACTAGAGTCTCCCTCTTACATTCCAGGGAGTTTACACAATACACTAGGTTTCTTCATAGCCCTAGAAGTGTCCCCCAATTTCTGTCATCTCTCCCAGTGTTCTCTTCCTCTACTCATGCTCCTGCACCAAATTTCTCTTGTTGCACCCCCACATTCTACTAATTGACTCAAGAAATATATTATATTTTCATTTCCTAGGGATATACATGCATCCCCTCTCCCCTCGAGCTCTCCTTATACTTGCCCTTTCTGATACATGGATTGTAGCAAGATTAATCTTTATTTTACAACTAGTATCCACTTGTATGTGAAGATACCATTCTTGTCTTTCTATGTCTGGGATACCTCACTCAGGATGATTTTCCTAGTTCCATGAATTTGCCTGAAAATTTAATGATGTCATTTTAACAGCTGAGTAATACTCTAATGTGTAAATGTATTATGTTTTCTTTCTCCATTTTTGAGTTGAAGGACATCAAGGTTGTTTCCAGTTTATGACTATTATGAATAAAGCTGTGATGAACATAGGTGAGTAGGTGTACTTGTGGTAGAATGCACCATCCTTTGGATAGATCCCAAATAGTATTCTTAAGGTAGATAAATTTTCAGCTTGAAATTTTTACCTTCTATTTCCATTATTCTTATGTTTGGTCTTTCAGAAATTCCCAGATTTCCTGGATGTTTTGTGTCAGGAATGTTTTTTTTTTTTAATTTAACATTTTCTTTTGATAGATGCAGCTCTTTTATCTTATATTAATTTCCAGTGATTCTCACCTTCATCTTTTGTATATTGTTTACTTACTTAGATTTTACATTTTCTGAATTCCCTCATTGTTTTCTTTAATGCTTCTACTTCCATTTTTAGATTTTGAACAATTTTACTCATTTTCTCCAAATATTTGTTGGTGTTTTTCTGGAATTTTTTGAGGGTTTATTCCTTTCCTTCTCTAAGGAACTCTATCATCTTCATAAAGTTGTTGTTAAGGTCATTTTCTTGTGCTTCAGCTGTGTTGGAGCATTTAATATTAATATTGTGGTAGTATTGTTGAACTCTGGGGTGACATACTGTTCTGGTTGTTGCTCATTCTGTTCTTAGACTGGTATCAAGGCTCCTGTGTTTGGAGTGATTATACGTCTAGGTGCTGATTTCTAAGTTTGTCTTTGTTGGATTTTGTTTTGTCTGTATCCTCATTGGTCCTCTGGTATCTGTGACCTGAATTTCTGGCAGCAGGTGTGACCTCTAGTCAAGTAGGAAGTCTCCATCAGAGATTGGGGTATGGACTTTTAGAGGCTAGAGTGACCTTTATTCCAACAGAGTGTCTCTGCTTCAGTTGGGAGTGGAAAGTGACAATAGGGAGGGGAGTGGAGATTGGGGAGTAGTGTTGTGGGGCACTGAGATAGTAGAAGATGTCCATAGATGGCTACCTGTCTAGAGTTCTGGAAGTCAGTGTGCTCTCTGGTCCAGCTTTGAGTCTCTGCCTAAGTTCCACTTTTTTTTCCCTCTGGCTGATGTGGTATGTTTTTCTGACTTGCATGGCCTGCACCGTGGTAGCTCTTCTGATTGGTATTGTCTACAGCTGTTCTTCTGGGTGGCAAGGCCTGCACATTTTCTTCTGACTTACATGGTCTGGACCTGAGCAGTATCTACAAGAGGTGGTGGCAGGGGTATGACTCCATGGGCCCATTTGGCAGGAAGGGATGACAACGGGTTGGGTCTTTGAGATCTTAACCTTGTGTAAGGGAGAGTTCATGGGGTAGGTATTTTTCATAGTGTTCTGCTAACTGGCATGGGCTGCACTTGAGCTTATTTATTTGTTTTGAGTTTCAGGTTTTTTCGTTATTTTTATTTTGTTTTCTTATGTGTTTGAAGACAGAGAGAGAGAGACACAGAGAGAGAGAGAGAGAGAGAGAGAGAGAGAGAGAGAGAGAGAGAGAGAGAGAGAGAAACAACAAATTTGGGTTAGGAAGTAATCAGGAAAAAAGGTTCTAGAACTTGTTGAGAGATGAGAAATGTTCAAAAAATATTATTAGAAAATATTTTTAAAAGAAAAGTGCCTTTAAAATGGAAGGTACTGTATGGGATGAAGCAGTATATCTCTTTCATATTCTGAATAATAAGATATATGAATAATATTTCAGAGAAGATAGACTGTTACCATAACAGTACAACAAAACATCATCTTCCATAATTCTTTTAATCCTCAAAGATCCTAGACAAAGAGGATCAACATATCCCAAATGAATCCATAGAAATTAAATATCTAAGTGTTTAACAAAATACATTATAAACTTTTTTAAAATTAAGACTTTTTATTTTAATAATAACCAAAAGTTTGTTCATTTGTTCATTTGTAAAATTTTGGGAAAATTAGCTAGGATGCTGAATCTTTTTGTTTGTTTGTTTGTTTGTTTTCTTAATCTTTCAATTTTTAATAGTATTTTTATTTTATAATATATCAGCCACAGATTCTGCTGTCCTCTCTCCTCCCACCCCCAACCCTCCACTCTCTAATCTACCCCCCATTCCCACCTCCTCCAAAGCAGGTCTCACCTGGGGAGTCAACAGAGCCTGGAAGACTCAGCCAAGGCATGTCCAGTCCCCTCCTCCCTATACCAAGGCTGAGCAAAGTGTCCCAGCATAGGCCTGAGGCTCCAAAAAGCCAGCCCATGCACCAAGGACAGGTCCTGGTTCCACTGCCTGGGGGCCTCCCTAACAGTTCAAGCTAATCAACTGTCTCACTTATCCAGAAGGCCTGGTCCAGTTCCACGGGGGTTCCTCTACCATTGGTTCACAGTTCATGCATTTCCACTAGTTTGGCTATTTGTCCCTGTGCTTTTTCCAATCATGGTCTCAATATCTCTTGCTCATGCAATCCCTCCTCTCTCGCCTATTGGAGAGAGCTCCAATAGCAGCTCCCAGAGCTCCACCTGGGTCTCAGTCATGGATTTCTGCATCCACTTCCATCAGACACTGAATGAGAGTTCAATCATGACAGCCAGGGTGTTCAGTCTTCTGATCACCAGAGCAGGTCAGCTCAGGCACACTCTTGACCATTGCCAGTAGTCTACACTGTAGGTATCTTTGTGGATTTCTGGCGACCTCTCTAGCACTCTGTTTCTTCCTATTCCCCTGGGGTCTTCATTCATCATGGTATTTCATTCTCAGTTCTCCCACTCTTCTCCTGATCCAGTTGGGACCTACCTCTCCCCTAAGCTCTCTTTACCCCTACCCTTGCCCTCCCTTCCCCCTCCAACCCCAGTTTGCTTATGTAGATCTCATCTATTTCTCTGTTGTTTGGTAATCCCTGTGTCTTTCTTAGAGTCTTCTTTACTAGGTAGCATTCCTGGAGTTGTGAGTTGAAATGACAGCCTACAGAGTGGGAAAAGATCTTCACCAACCCCACATCTGACAGAGGGCTGATATCCAGAACATATAAAGAACTCAAGAAATTAGACATCAAAATACCCAACAGTTCAATTAAAAGGTGGGCTATAGAGCTAAACAGAGAATTCTCAACAGAAGAAACTCAAATGGCTGAAAGACATTTAAGGAATTGCTCAACATCCTTAGTCATTAGGGAAATGCAAATCAAAATGACTCTGAGGTACCATCTTACACTCGTCAGAATGGCTAAGATCAAAAACACTGAAGACACCTTATGCTGGAGAGGATGTGGAGCAAGGGGAACACTCCTACACTGTTGATGGGAATGCAAACTTGTACAGCCACTTTGGAAATCAATATGACGCTTTCTCAGAAAATTGTTAATCAACCTCCCTCAAGACCCAGCTATTCCACTCTTGGGCATATACCCAAGGGATGATCAATCACAGCACAAGGACACATGCTCAACTATGTTCATAGCAGCATTGTTTTTAATAGCCAGAACCTGAAAACAACCTAGATGCCCTTCAACTGAAGAATGGATAAACAAAATGTGGTATATATCCACAATGGAGTACTACTCAGCAGAGAAAAACAATGACATCATGAGGTTTGTGGGCAAATGACGGAACTAGAAAATATCATCCTGAGTGAGGTAACCCAGACTCAGAAAGACAAACATGGTATGTATTCACTCATAAGTGGATACTAGATGTAAAGCAAAGGATAACCAGGATGTTGAATATTTGTAGCCTATAAGTTCAGAAGAGTAAGATGTATAAGGGCTTTGCTTTGGAGTGGGTGGTAATAGTTAATACTCATTGAACAAATAGGGTCATTTAAATATTAAATAGTCAATGGATATGCTTACAACTGATAATAGAGCTTCTAGTAGAGTTTCTGCTCAATATGTGTAAGGCCCTGGCTTTAATCTCCATAAAATAATAACTAATTTTTAATATACATTTTTTAAAACAACACATAAATTCCTCTTTTTGTCAAGGGTGTTCAAGTGATTAATACAAACAGGAACTGCAATGGTAAATAAACTTTGTTTAAAAATATAAAATGATTCTTTCTCAAAGATAAAAATGTACAAAATACACAGCTTTGTTTCTTTACCATATTATACCACACATATAATATACAGTGACTCCTAGACATTGGTTAGGAATGTAGATATGTCTTTGTGGTTTCTAGTTTCAGTTCCCTTATGTCTCATACAGTTGGGAACTTTTACGGTACTATCATTTTTTTGGTAAATGTCATCTGGTCTTGTAATCTGGCAATGTCTTCTTCTAATATTTTTTAATTGCCTTGCTCTTAATTCTCTAATAGATTTACAAAAAACGCCGGGCGGTGGTGGCACACGCCTTTAATCCCAGCACTCGGGAGGCAGAGCCAGGCGGATCTCTGTGAGTTCGAGGCCAGCCTGGTCTCCAAAGCGAGTTCCAGGAAAGGCGCAAAGCTACACAGAGAAACCCTGTCTCGAAAAACCAAAAAAAAAAAAATCATTATATAAATTTTATATCAAACATATATTCTATGACATCATATGTAATCTCTAATATCTAAATCATAGAAACACTGTTTAAAGTCTAAGTAAAATTAAATATTAGGGAATGATATCACTCCTAATGTTGAAATATGGCATCTACTATAGAACACCATTGTATCCAGATGATATATGCTCACAAATTCCCACTTGAAAACCATAGAGGGTTTCATTTTTTTTTTAATTCATAAATACCTGTTGTTGGCTCAACAGAAAAATATGGTTGTCCTTGTTCTAAGTTGTATAGGATTCGAGCATGATAACCAGTTGCAGGGTCATCAGCATCATTGGCTGTCACCTTGATAACAAATGTTCCTAAGTAGAAAAGATATATTAATAGTAAATTCAGATTTGGGTCTCAGTCCAATCAGTAATGAATTTAGTTCAGTAAAACAAGCAAAATAGCCACTAATAAGAACAGTAGTAGTTAACAGAGAAACAAGAAAATATAACTATATAAATAGGCCTCATTCCCATAAGATCTGAGAACTGTACTTGTCGATTTGTAATTAATGAAATGAACTGTTAAATAATTCATTGATACATATTGTTTATGATCTTTCCAAGATGTATGATCACAGGATGAACCTGAAAAAAATATTAAAAATGTTGAAGCAGTCTGTAGCTCAAAAAATATAATGTTGAAAACATTGTTAAACATTATTGAAACGAGCTAGAATGAATATCAAATGAAGAAAAGTATATTGATTAAAGCCTCTTTATTAACTTTGTAAATATCCACTTGATGTAGAAAATAAAATGAAACAGACACATAAGGTAAACATTATTATTAAAATTCAACATATGGGTATAATTATTTTTTTACATTGACTATAAACATTGAAAGACTTCAAATACTTATTTTAAAATATCAAATTTTTGCTTGTGTTCCTATAAACATAAAATTTCCACCCATGAACCTTATGAAAACTTCATATGTATTGAAACTTTATATTTTTTGTATATAAGAATGAAAAGAATAGCATAAAATCAAGTAAACTTCTCAAGTCTTTTCACAGACACCTTCATGATTTTTCCCAGCAAAATACAAGTTCATAAAATCAGACTCTCTTTACCTATGAAACCCTTTATATTTTAACTTCTGAAAGTATAAACTATGACTATGTTGAGTTTGTTTTGTTTCGGCTTCAACTTAGTACTTTTTAAAAATGTTTTTGAACAATGCAGCATACTTTAGCAATATTTAGCAATAATTTTATTAATATAATTGTTAATCTATATCTTCAAATAACTGAAAAAGATAAGATTAGAATAAAAGGTATGAAAATAAAATATTTCCACCAACTCTTGTATATTTGAACCATCCCAGTTCTTCAACATATGAAAAAGAAACTTCATATAAGTTTTTTTAAACATGAATCTGGTGTAATCATTAAGGTATTGTGAACAAATGTCTCAAAAACCATTTACTGAAGTTGTGTACAATGCATTGGGTAGGAAGTGTTTTTAGTTTGTGCTTCAGAGATACAATTTTTAATTTCTCTACTTCCTGTTTATGCTTACATATAAATTATTTGCTTAGATTCCTAACCCTTGTCTCTGGACCTTAACCAGATGTCTTTGCTTTCTTAAACCCTCATCAATGCCATGTCCACATAATCTACTAATTAAAAAATTCTTAGTATTATACATGCTTAGAGGTTTTTAAACCAGAATAGCACAAATAATGACAAGGAAAAGGATAAAAAATCATTTTTTATTTGGTTGAAATTATCAGATGATAAGAAATAAAATTTGGGTTTGTAAATCCAACAGTAGCCACTTTTAAAATATATTTTTAATTTTTTATAATACAATATGTCACTTTCCTTCCCCATTTCTCTATCCAAAACTCCCTATTTACCCCCTCTTTTTGTGTTCAAATTACTAGCCATTTCCTTTGTTTATTTTTGTGGTGTGTGTGTGTGTGTGTGTGTGTGTGTGTGTGTGTATGTGTGTGTGTACCTCAACAGTGACCATGTTACTTATGAATGCTTGCATGTATTCCCAAATAAAAAAGTGACATTTCTGCCTCCTATGGTTTTTACTTTGTTCTATTTTTCAAAAGGCAACACTAATACTATATATTTAACAAAATAATAGCAAACTGACAAGCACATATTGGAAGAGAATAAATAAAATTCTAATAATTACAATCCCTTAACATAAAAAATTTGTAAAAGGAGTTAAGGAGATTCTATTACATTAAACAGTTTAAAGAAATAATTATCAGTTTATTTTCAAAAACAGGACTCAGTAATTCAGAACAAGGATATATTTACATATATTAACCACTAACTTTGGATTTCAGAATATTAATCTGTAATTAAGTCTATTGCCAAGGTAATATGGCAACATCAGATTCAAGCCATATTTTAGCAGCAAGACTTGAATATTCTAGCACAGCTGAAACACAATATAACTACTTTTAAAAAGAAATTCATGAAGAGGCTAGAGGTGCTTAAATAGAAAATGAGTAAATGTCTTAAAGAAATTAAGGAAAATATAAACAGTAATTGGAGAAAATAAACAAATCCCTTAAATAATGTAAAAAAAACATACAAGTGAAGGAAACTATCTAAGAGTTGAAAATTGAAATATAAACAATAAAGAAAACACAGAGAGACTCCAGACAGGAAATTTTCATATGTGAACAGGAACTACAGACTCAAACATGACAACCTTACTTGGGTTAATGTTTTCCTTCTAGTACCTACTGTAGGGCTGGATTTGTGGATAGATTTTATTTAAATTTTACTTTGTCATGAAATATTCTGTTTTCTCTATCTATGGTGATTGAAAGTTTTATTGGATATAATAGTCTGGGTTAGCATCTGTGGTCTCTTGTAGTTTGGAAAACTACAACTCAAGCAAGTTAATTATAGCCAGGACAACTCAGGCAATAGATAATCTCACAACAGCAAAATTTGAAGAAGGGAAACACACACACACATGCACACACACACACACACACACACACACACACACACACACCAACAACAGCAACAACAACTGGTTATTAATATCTCTCAATATCAATGGGTTCAATTCACCAATAAAAAGACAGGTTAACAGAATTGTATGTAAACAGGAGCCATCCTTCTGTTGCATACAGGAAACACATCACAAAATCAAAGATAGATATTACCTCAGAGTAAACTGATTGAAAAAGATTTTCCAATCAAATGGACCTAAGAGGCAAACTGATGTGGCTACCCTAATATCTAATAAAATAGATATCAAATTGAATTTAATCAAAAGACATAGAGAAGGACATTTAATAGTTATTAAAGTAAAAATCCACCAGGATGACATCCTAATTCTTTACAGCTATGCCCAATGCAATAGTAGCTACATTTGTCATAGAACCATTACTAAAGCTTAAATCACTCACTGAACCCAACAAATTAAAAATGATAGACTTCTTATATTTTGGCGCACGCCTTTAATCCCAGCACTCGGGAGGCAGAGCCAGGCGGATCTCTGTGAGTTCGAGGCCAGCCTGGACTACCAAGTGAGTTCCAGGAAAGGCGCAAAGCTACACAGAGAAACCCTGTCTCGAAAAACCAAAAAAAAAAAAAAAAAATGATAGACTTCAATACCCCACTTCTGCTAATGGACAGGTAGTTTAACTATAAAATAAACAAAGAAATAATGAAACTAACAGACATTATGACTCAAATGTACATAAAAGCTATCTATGGAACATTTCACCAAAACTCAAAAGATTATACCTTCTCAGCACCTCATGAAACTTTCTCCAAAATTGACTACATACTCCCTAACAAAGTAAGTCTCAAAAGATACAAGAAAATTGAAGTAACCATCTCTATTTTATTGGAGAATCATGGATTAAAGCTAGATTTCAGCAACAACAGAAACAACAGAAAGCCTATAAACTCATGAAAACTGAGCAACTCTCTACTGAGTTACCATTGGGTCAAAGAAGACATAAAAAGAAGTTAAAGATGTCCTAGAATGCAATGAAAATGGATGCACAACATACCCAAACTTGAAAGCAGTACAATGAAAATAGTACTAAGAAGAAAGTTTGTACCACCAATTGCCTTCATGAAGAAATTGGAGTGACCTCATAATGGTGACATAACTGTATACCTGAAAGATCTAGAACAAAAAGAAGCAAACACACACAAGCAGAATTCATGGCAGGAAATAGTCAAGTTAGGGATGACATCAATAAATAGAAGTAGAAAAATACAAATAATTGATGAAACAGAGGTGGTGCTTTGAGAAAATCAACAAGATAAACAAACCGTTATGCAAACTAACTAAAGAGAAGAGACATAATGTACAAATTAACAAAATCAGAAACAAAAAGAGGGACATAACAAGAGACCCAAGGAAATACAAAGAATCATTTTGTTACCCATCAAAAATCTGTTTTCCACAAAATTGGGAAATCTCAAAGAAATGAACAATTTTCTAAACAGATGCCATTTACCACAATTAATTCAAGGCCAGACAAATAATGTAAATAGATCTATAACTTCCAAAGAAATAGATTCTGTCACTAAAATTTCAAAACCAAAAATAAAGCCCAGGACCAGAATGGTTTAGTGTTGAATTCTATCAAACATTGAAAGAACAGTTAATAACAATAGTCCTTAAATTCTTTCACAAAATAGAAACAGAAGAAACTTTGCTAAATTTATTTTATGAGACTATAGTTACCCTTATATCCAAACCACAAAAAGACTCAGCAAAAAGAATTATAGAACAGTTTTTTCTCATAAACATAGATGCAAAAATACTGAATAAAATACTTGCATATGGAATCCAAGAATATATGAAAAAAATCTACCATGATCATGTAAGCTTCCTATCAGAGATGCAGGCATGGATCAAAATAAGAATACCTGTCAATGTAATCCACCACGTAAACAAACTGAAAGATTAAAAAAAAATCCATGATCATCTCATTAGATGCTGAAAAATCTTTTGATAAAATCTAGAACTCATTCTTGATAGATTCTTGAAGAGATTAGGGATACAAGGGATATACCTAAATATAATTAAGGTAATATAGAGCAAACAAATTACCCACATCAAATTAAATGGAAGAAACTCAAAGTGTTACCATTAAAATTAGGATCAAGAAAAGGCCATACATCACCTCATATCTATTCAATATAATTCTCAAAGTTCTACCTAGAGTAATAAGACAATTTAAGGAGATCAAGAGGATAGAAATAAGAAAGGATTAAGGCAAAGTTTTGAGAGTCGCTGGTAGCAAAAGTCCATGAGAGTATACAACAGTGACAACTAGTGTTCAGAGGATCAACCTATCAGAACTA